CATGAAGTGTTTTATGTTTGTTTATTTTAGGCAAGTCGTATTGGTTTGAGAAGGCTAAATTGATCAAACATATAATGCTCAACTCACTGTCTGCCGCTGCCGCTTGCTCGTTCATTTAAAAAACAAAAACTTGAATTTAACAAACATAAAATGTTCCAAACATATTTCTAAATTCACTTAATAAAGAAACAAAAAGAAATATGACCACTTTGCCATTAAAAACCAAAACTGAACTATTTTAATAGCTGTGTAAGAGAGAACGTGAGAGAGAAAGACACGGGATCCAGTGGGACTCGGGTCGAGAATTCTCATAAGCTGTTGGACAAGAGCCGGGCTCATGCAGGGCTCTATTCGTTCCCTCGTTGCCCCCAAACCAAATGCACCTGCATACCCTGCATAACCAGACGCTATGCCACTGATCTTATTTGTTCTTATCTGTTCATAAAAGTTTTATGTTTAATATAAGCGACTTTGTCATTGTACTGGAAGCAAACTGGTTATAGTCAGCCTTCTCTAGTTATTTATTTAATTATTTAATACTTATTTTAGTTAAGTGCTTAAATTGTAAATATGCATTTAATCAATTATTTTATTTAGTGCATTTGTATTTTTTTGTTTTTGTAGGCTATACAATAAAAGTGTACCAACCAGAAATAATCTCTGAGGGTGCTTCTGACATTAGTGAGGGTGCTCTAGTCTTAATGCACATTTTCACATATTTTGTCCCATCTATTGCTATAGTTATCACTATGTCAACCACTACTACTTCGAGAGCGAATCCAGCATAAATATACGGATGTCATTCCCGAAACTTTGCAACATGTGTGTGGCCGAAAAACAAAGTTCTACATTTTAAATGGATTATTGCCTAGAAAGCTCGCAAAGAGCGCTCCTTTTTTAACCACTAAAAACTGTCACTCTTAGTTCATCGTGATCTCACAAAGTTCTGTTATGACCAATGAATCTCACACTGTGCAATTAATATATTACTAACATCGTCGTGTATACACTCACTCTGTATGTTATAATGAAAGGATTCGATTGTGATCAGCACAGAACAAAAACTGGTGTGTCACAGCCATTAGGTAAACCAGCATACATTCATGAGGATGGTGAAAGTGTTTTAACTTGAGTAAAGCCCCCAGACCCCCCCCCGGCCACGCAGCCACCCTATTTTGAGGCAGTGCCCCAGCCTGGCCCCCCCATTTAGAATGCTCTAGACACGCCCCTGACTGTACAGTCTGCTATATAGACTTTAATTTGAGTCACCTCTGATAACAGTTTTCAGTTTGTAATGTAGAAACATGCAGTTTCTGTAAAGCTGCTTTGAAGCTATACTTATTGTGAAAAGCAATATAAAAATAAGCATGATTTTTTATTTTTTTTTCCAGTAAAACAATCCCAATCAAATGGAATCCCATTAAAAAGAAATAGCAGAAATCAAAGTTTCAGGTATATGTAACAAAAAAAAAAAGATTCATATTTAGGCTTTCAGGAATTTCACTGATGGGCACAGCCTGATTTTTTTGTCAGTATTTCAGTTTCTTTTAGTAGCTCTTTTATTTCTTCTTCTTTCTGGACCTGCAGGTGCTGATAGAGTTTTTCCAGTAATTCGTATTGTTGCTGATGTTCATCCAGCATCTGTTGGAGCTCCTGAACCTGCTATTCATTAGTTGACATGTGAATAAAGTTCCACTTCTTCGACGTGTTAGTATTTCTGGCTTTCAGAGGATAATAATCCAGACTTGCTCCTCTGCTCTCAGTCAGTGAAGTCAGATCAAAGGCAGATACATTTTGAGATGCTCAAATAAAAGGTTCAACCTAGGGAATTGGCCGAAATTCTATAATCAGTTCATTTTCAATGAGTTAAGACACATAATATATTAAAGTCTAATTATTAGTTTATAGATGTGTCCAATAAGGTGTTCAAAGGTTAAAACAGCTGCCAGGACAATCTGAACTGTTTATATACAAGTTAAAATTATGCAGCATGCACACATGTTAGCATTCTTATGCAGTGTTATTTTAGTATTGTTACGGAGCTGACAAGACGTGAGACGTGCGGATCCATTTGCAAAGATTTATTGTGGAGAAGACAGAGACGTGGTCATAAAGCAGGCAGGGTCAAACAGAGGCAGACAGGTATATGGCGGGCAAGACACAAGAATAGTCCTAGGGCTAGCGTGGGTCGACGATTGGCAGACAGAGTCAGAAGGGGCAAGACTAAGGGAGAAATCCAGGAAACCAGGCGAAGATCAGAAACCGGGAAAACAGCTAAGGCTAGGAAACGAAATGTGCACCTTATAATGTATATGGTTGTGAATATATATTTGTTATGTTGATAGGGTCTTTATTACTTTTATTATTTTTGTTTTGACATTTCTATTGTTCAGCCAATCGTGTTCACTTGTCCATGTTGGGTGTCCAATCAGTGCTCTAGATTAAGGTGAAGGGGCTGGAAGAATGGAGCGAAAAGGTTAACTAGGAAGGAGGAGGAGAGCGTGCGATCATCTGGTGTTATATTGTTTCACTAAATTTATAGCATAAACAATGCTGTAATGTGTTACTGTAGTTAGTGTGTTTGTCAAAATAAGAACGGAAACTTGTACTACGGTACAGGTAAAACTTGTACTTAAACAGGTAAGACTTATTTCATCCCGAAATATTCCTGGTTGTCTTTATTCCAGCCGCCATTTACTAACAGTGAATGGACTATTTACAGAGACTGAACAGTGTCTATCTTGCTCGGATGGATTGTGTGTTCAGTTGGCGAGTCATCAGCACGAGGATTCGTGGCAGTTTCATACGAGGATGATTCCAGATAGACTTCTGAGTTAACGGGTGCTCGGAATTCCTTTGGCCCTGAGGAAATCACAGATATCGCGAGTTGAACGGATATCTAGCACCGGGAGGTGAAACAAGCTCTTCTTACTGGACTTAAATGTATTTTCCCCCCTGTGTTTGCTCCGTGTGTAGTGAAGTGGTCTTTTATTTTTTGATCACAGCGTACCCCAGCATAAAAAAGGCCTGCAATGTAAAAACGTCTCAGGTTACTTATGTAACCATGGTTCCCTGAGTAGGGAA